CCACGCAGGTGCCCCAATGTCAAATCATTCTATTGGGACCTATCTTTTTCGAAGGAATTTCTTTTGCTGGACTTGTGACTTGTCATTTGTCATCAGCCTACAATGGATGAGAGACATTATAAGAAAAGGTTGAATGAGTCTTATTGTGTCTGCTTAAGAAATGTCATACCCATAGGGGAAATTCCTATCTGTTCTTTAAAACAAGAATACCTGGGGCACCTGGGTGGCTCAGTTGGTTGAGCATCCAACTTTGGCTCAGGTTATGATCTCGCAGTCCATGAGTTCGAGCCCCACGTCGGGCTCTGTGCTGACAGCTTGGAGCCTGTTTCGGATTCTGTGTCTCCCTCTCTCTCTGCCCCTCCCCCGCTCATACTCTGTCTGTCTGTCTGTCTCTCTCTCACAAATAAATAAAACATTAAAAAAATTTTTTTTAAAACAAGAATACCTAATGCTTTTTATGAACAACTGGTTATTTTCTCTCATAATCACATCCCTTCCCTTCCCTTCCCTTCCCTTCCCTTCCCTTCCCTTCCCTTTCCCTTCTGGCTTCTAGAAAGCTTAGAGCTGGGTATATGGGCCATGTCTAGAAACTCAGAGTTATTTTTATAGCATATTTTTTTTTATTTTTAAGATTTTATTTTTTAAGTAATCTCTAAACCCAGTGTGGGGCTCAAACTCACAGCCCCAAGATCAAGAGTTACATGCTCCACCAAGTGAGCCAGCCAAGTGCCCCTGTAGCATATTTCTTTTGACTAATTTTTTCTTGGTAGCCACCTTCTAGGATATGTCCAAATGGCAGTGGTTTTGTAATGATCCCCCACCTTCCAAGTACCCTTGAATGCATTTGATTTTGTGCATCTTTACAGAGCAGTCTTCCCATAGGTGCCAGCAAAGGGCCAGCACATCCTTGTGGGATACTTCAATGGCTCTCTACCCATTAAACACCCTAGTCCTCAGTGGCATTCAAGTTCCTCCATGATCTGGCCCCTGTAATAATTACATATGGAATGATGTAGTCTCAGCAATTGCCACCTCATAAAAATAACATTCCAGGGGAGCCTGGGTGACTCAGTCGGTTAAGTGTCTGACTTGATTTTGGCTCAGGTCATGATCTCACCGTTCATGGGATGGAGCCCTGCATCAGGCTCAGCACTGACAGTGTGAAGCCTGCTTGGAATTCTCTCTCCTTCTTTCTCTGCCCCTCCCCTGAATTCTTGAGTCCTCTCTATCTGAAGGAAAAAAAAAAAAAGAAGAGTGAATAATTCTAGGAGCTGGTATGCAAATACATTATTGATAAAAATGTATCATTTTCTGCTTTAATCAAAACCAAACCATCTCAGGATGTGAATTTGGAAGGATACATATTCATAATGGAAGTGGAGGGAGGGTGGAATGCATGGAGTCTTGAGAGAACAAAGGAGGTGACTGAGCATTTTTTCCTCTGCCCTCACACTGGCCTAAGTGGGGGGAGAGAACTGTTGAACCAGCCAATGCTAACATCAAGGCCACTTGACAGAATTGCAATCCACAGGATGGTTAATGGAGCAAGGGTAGGAGGACATTAGTCTAGTCATGAAAGGGAGAAGTAGAGCAAAGGTCAAGGGACATTTATGTCCTTCAAATGAATAGGATGCTCTATGCAGTAAACAAGATAGAAGGGGCACCTGGGTGGCACAGTCAGTTGAGCATCCAACTTCAACTCAGGTCATGATCTCATGGTTTGTGAGTCTGAGCCCCGTGTGGGGCTCTCTGCTGTCAGCACTGACCCTGCTTCATATCCTCTGTTCCCCCCTTTCTCTGCCCCTCCCTCTCTCTCTCTCCCTCTCAAAAATAAATACACTTTAAAAAGAAAAGAAAAGGTCTCAGTGCTACAGACATACTCTAGAAATATTGGCTGTACTTACTGCTGTTACTATTTTTAATAATAACAGTATAGTTGTTGTACTAGCCTTTATACTTGATCTTAGCCAAAAGACCAAGAAACAGTGTGGTAGTCTTTATGAAAGAGAAAATATTCAGCTTGGTTTAGGATGTTCCCTCTCCCTTGATTTCCTGATACACAGGCTGTTAGCTTTTTCAATAGTCACTATTGCAGAAATATGAATGGAGGTTATACATTTGGAATTTTTTCTTAAATGTTTTAATTAAAAAATTTTTTTTATTGTTTATTATTTCTGAGAGGGAGAGAGAGAGACTGAGAGCAAGCAGGGAAGAGGCAGAGAGAGAGGAAGACACAGACTCGGAAGCAGGCTCCAGGCTCTGAGCTGTCAGCACAGAGCCTGACGTGGGGCTGGAACTCACAGATCGCGAGATCATGACCTGAATTTCTGGATATGGATGGTGGATCCCCACCACACCGCCTGACAGTGTGGATGTACTTAGTACTACCAAACTGGACACTGGAAAATGGTTAAAATGGTACATTTTATGTTATGTATATTTCATTATGATTTAAAAATTAATTAATAAATAAAAAATGTTGAAGAAACTTGCTGATTTGCTTTTTTTATGCTCCTGTCCTTCATGGTGGTTTGAGAAATCAATTGCCCCTCATTTTTCACACTTCATGGGTGGTTCTTAGGGAACAGAACTCAAGAAGCAGACGGATGAAATAAGTGAAGGGGAGTAAGAAGTACAAACGTCCAGTTATACAAGAAATAAATCATAAGGACGAAAAGTACAGCAAAGGGAACATAGTCAATAATATTGTAATAACTTTGTATGGTGAAAGATGGTAACTACACTTGTCATGGTGAGCATTTTTTATTATTATTTTTTTGTTTTTTAATGTTTATTTTTGAGAGAGAGACAGAGTATGAGTGGGGGAGGAGCAGAGAGAGAGGGAGACACAGAATTCGAAGCAGGATCGAGGCTCTGAGCTGTCAGCACAGAGCCCGACATGGGGCTCGAACCCACAAGCTGTGAGATCATGACCTGAGCTGAAGTCGGATGCTTAACCAACTGAGACACCCTGGCGTCCCCACGGTGAGCATTTTTTAATGTATATAATTGGCAAATCACTTTGTCGTACACCTGAAACCAATATAATATTGTATGTCAACAACTGAATGTTTCATCTTTAAAAAAACCCCACAGATGTCTGTGTTCTACCCAAGAATTTCCCGTTGAGTAGGTCCAGTATTTGCATTTCTAATATGTCCCCAGGTGATGCTGATATAGCTGTGTGGAGGGGACCACACTTTGAAAACCATTGTTGTAGAAGTTTCTAAAGTATGGTGTAGAATGAGCCCAGCTGGATTCAAATCCTGTATAAAGCCAATGAAGGAAATCCATGAACACGCTTGAGCTTTTGTTTGTTATCTGGGTAATGGAAATGAGAATGTAATATCTACATTCCAGGAATGCATATGAAAAGGAAAAATAAAGCGCACAGCAGAGCGTGTACTCACTGTTCATATTATTGATATCAGCATCACCGGAATTTGAGAAGATCCTGACACGATTCTTCCTTTTGAGTGGCATGTGTTGGAGGGTGTAGGGGGAAAGGACAGGAAGAATGAGGAAGTGGGAAGGAGAGAGAGAATAGCCATAGAGCAACATCGGTGAGTTGTAAGGAAGACCAACTTGAAAATTCTACTAGGACCCTTGGTTACATTTAGGGGCAAGTTGACTGGGGAGACTGGTCTCCTTTCCTTAAATCTCAGTGCCTCCTTCAAAGGATTGGATTTAGCATTAACAATGTGACCCTAGAGCAGACAGTTTCCCTTCTATCATACCTGGGAAATAAAGTGGTGCATTGGAGCAGCCTGGAATCCTTAGAGAACTTTAGAAAGTTTCAATTCCTTTAAGTAAGGGCATCAGTCGCTGCAAACTTTGGGTGAGGAAAAGGTGTCCACAGAGTCAGTGGCAATTGTGAATCCAGTGCCAGGGGACTTGGGAATATGCCAAGTAGTTAATAAAAATCCGGAGTTCCTTTAGACAACTATTCTCAATCTTGACTGTGGATCAGACTCAACTGAAGGGTTTCTTAAAACACTGGTTGCTGGATGCCACCCCAGAGTTTCAGCATGTCTAAGTGAGTACTGAGAAAGTGCATTTTAGGGACACCTAGGTTCAGTTAGTTGAACGTCCCAATTTCAGCTCAGGTCATGATCTCGCTGTTCATGAGTTCGATCCCTGTATCAGGCTCAGGGCTATCAGCATGGAGTCCACTTCGGATCCTCTTTTCCTCTCTCTGCCCTTCCCCTGCTCATGCTCTCAATCTCAAAAATAAATAAACATTTTTAAAAAAGCGCTTTTAAAAAAGAGTGTATTTCAAAGAACTCTCCAGGTGATGATACTTCAGGGAAAAATGGCTGCATCATTTTCAGGTCCCAAGGCAAAATGAAAATGGGGGACCCTTAGCTCATAAATTTCAGAAGGTGACAGCAAAGCATTAAAGCAAGAGTGGGGTTCTCTGTGACTGCCCAGGTTGTACACACATGAACCCAGCTCTGGCTGCTGGGCTGGAGACAACATTTTGAGAACCACTACTCTAGACTTCCTACTTAATTAACCTAGGACTAACTCTACATGGGAATAATAATAATAATAATAATAGTAAATTGTCCCTTTTCTCCAGAACTTACAAGCGATTTCTGTATCTCCAGGATGACCCCACAGAAGACCACAGGTGTTGATGGAAGATGTGGATGTGGAAGACAAATTGACTTTTGAGAATTTCAAGGAGACAGTTATGTGTAGAGTTTCTGGACAAGACACATTTTCTAAGAAGTGACACGGTGTCTTCCTTCCTGGTCTGGTAGGTGTGAGATTGTGTGGATAGGGGAGAGGCAGTCTATTTACAGTTTTTTCTGCCCCTAGAGGTTTTGTCTCCAAAGATCATTAGCCGATCTTCATTCCAATCCAATTCCTACTTGCCTTGAAGGGAGGAAACTACTGGCTTGCTAATTACCTGGCTGGGACAAAAGGCATTTGTCCTTTCCCTCTCCTGCCTCTTCTGCCCCAGAGTTCAAGCTCACAGTCCAGGTCTGATGAAGATGCCCACAGCAGACACCGTCACCATTCACCACGTACCACTCGCTTTTCAGGAGGCAGTTTGCCAAAACTCAGCCATTTCTGATTGTCTTCATGGTTGTTGCCAATCAACTCTTTTTTTTTAATTTAAATTTTTTTTTTTATTTTTGAGGGGGGGAGGGGCAGAGAGAGAGGGAAACACAGAATCTGAAGCAGGCTCCAGTCTGAGCTGTCGGCACAGAGCCCGACGCGAGGCTTGAACCCGCAAACCGTGAGATCATGACCTGAGCCGAAGTTGGTCGCTTAACTGACTGAGCTACCCAGATGCCCCACCAGGTGCCCCAATTAAGCAATTATTAATTGGCATAAGTTTAACTCATCACAATCCTTTTTTTTTTTAAGTTTATTTCTTTATTTTGAGAGAGAGAGAGAGTGAGGGAAAGGCAGAGAGAGAGGAAGAGAGAATCCTAAGTAGGCTCTGCATGATCAGTGCAAAGGGCTTGAGCTTCTGAACTGTTGAATTCATGCCCTGTGCTGAAACCAAGAGTCGGAGGCTTAACCAACTGAGCCACCCAGGCGCCCTGGTAAAAATTTTTTTAAGGGGCACTTCAAAGTTAGTAAGGAAAGATTTTCTTAAGGGAGACTCTTGCAACGTGAAGATCTGCAAAGAATATGCAGAACAGGGGAGGGGTGGGTGAACAAAGCTTTCATATGCAGAGGCCGGTGGCTTGGGAAAGGGACAGGGTGTGTCTTGAAACTCAGCAGACTGCGTTAAATATGTTAAATATGGCACTAACAGGAAAGACGAGGCTGGAATGTTCAGGCATTGTCGGGGAAGGGTGGGGAATCTGGGCCTGACTTGGAGCAAACAAGTTATAGGGGGGAAGTTCTCATAAAATTTAAGGTCCAGCCTTCTCAGTCGATTTATCCTAAATTATGTCAAGCTCAGAGTTTGATCAGTTTCAGCAAGGTCTCAGCTGGAACCTTAGCTCCTCAAAGGGTGCCCGTGTTGTCTCAACTACAGGTCAATTAAAAAAAAAAAAAGCCTGCAATCGCTAGTTAGGCAGGAAAAAAAAAAGTTCCTGTGCTCACCAGCATCAATCACTCACTATCCCTTTACGATTTACTTCTCTTGTCCTCTGTGCAGCTTTCTTACTTGATTTTTCTGTATAATTATTAGTTGTTTCTTCCACATTCCTGACATTTAGAATAGTGTATGGTATACAGTAGGCACTCAATAAATATTTATTCAGTGAATGAGCGCTTGATAAAATACCCTGCAAAGAGGTGCAACGACTTAGACTCTCACAGGTAGCGAATCACTCTATTGAAATTTCTGAGTCATTGTATCTTTCTGGATATTTAGGAAGTACCAAGTAAGCAGGAATTAGGTTAATCAGGGCGTATTCTTTGTTTTATCAATAAAGGCACCAATAAAGTGCCCTGTGAAAGTGTAGTCAAGGAGAATAGGGCGTGTCTTTTAATCTTTTAGCCCTTTCAGTTGCATTACCAGATAAAAGTCAGTGACCTTGGGAGTTTCTTCAGCCAGAAAGCACGCCGTAGCCTAGAAGTACGTGAACATCAGCCTGGCTCAAGCCCTTACCTTGATGACCTATGGATTTCTGTGTCTTGGTGAGTAATGGAACTTGCGGCAGGGGTTCCCCACTACCCTTCACTTTGTAAGGGAATTTTTTTTTTTTTTAAATTTTTTTTTTTTTCAACGTTTATTTATTTTTGGGACAGAGAGAGACAGAGCACGAACGGGGGAGGGGCAGAGAGAGAGGGAGACACAGAATCGGAAACAGGCTCCAGGCTCTGAGCCATCAGCCCAGAGCCCGACGCGGGGCTCGAACTCACGGACCGCAAGATCGTGACCTGGCTGAAGTCGGACGCTTAACCGACTGCGCCACCCAGGCGCCCCTGTAAGGGAATTTTTAATTTGCAGAACGTTTGCTCTTGACTGAGGGCATCAGGGTGAACTTTGAGGTTGGGGTATCTTGTGAGATGGAATTTTCCAATTATTTATGTTGGGTAGGTTTTATCCACAGGATATCAGGATGGGCAGTATATTACCTTTTAATCATGAGTTCTATTATCAAGGTCAGCTTTGTCCTTTTCAAGGGACCTCAACTAAAATTACAATTCCCAATGCTTGAAAATCAAGAGATTGTAAAAAAAATAATGTAACTTCACTAAGATGTTATCTGAAATCAGAACTGAATTGACTACATGAGATGAGTTTTGCCCAGTGTTAATGAAATAAAATTTATTTCCCAGATAAAACATAACAGGAAAATTAGGTATTAGCTTTGGTTTTAAATGGAAGGGATTTGGTTATAAAAAGAGTACTCTTACAGAATTTGAAGCTGTTTACCTAGATAGAATTCATCTTATTTCAAAAACTCAATATATCTTTTCTTGTTGCATATATTTTAGCATTTTTTATCTTTTAGTATGTTCACACTAAAAAGTTACTGGAGTGAGTTTTTGTTGCCCGTGAGTGGTCCACAAACAGTTATTACTTGCCTACACTGACCTTGTTAATACTGATAGCTCAGTCCCACAGATTTAATGACAAAAAAAAATTACTAAGTGTCAGGTCCCCTGGAGTTTATAGTCCAGCTATTAAGTGTGATAAATGAGGGTTGATTGTGAATTATTGTAAATGAAAGGCTTTCAGGGGAGGACTTGCTTGAAGGGTTCTTCTTGGAAAGAAAAGACCTTAAAGCCGCCATCTTAGAAATGACTACAGGACAGCTAGGGAGCGGGCTGGGGCCCTCGTGGGGCTGGGAATGGGAAAAGCATTGTAGCAAGACAGCTTGTGCAAAATCCCTGGAGCAGCTAGGAGCCTGGAGTGCTCAGGGAACTGAGCAAGACAGGACAGGGCTGAAAACAAAGCAAGAGAGGAGGAAGGTGAGCTAGATATGGAACCTTGAAAGCAAGATAGGGATTTAATTCTAAGGGTGGTAGGAAGCCATTGTGAGTAGGGGTGGCCCATGATTAGATGATCTTTTTTTATGTTTTTCTTCAAATTTTTTTCATTTAAATTGTAGTTAGTTAACATAGTGTAATACTAGTTTCAGGAGTAGAATTGAGTGATTCATCACTTCCACAGATTTGTGTTTAGAAGAGCTAGCTCTTGGGGCGCCTGGGTGGCGCAGTCGGTTAAGCGTCCGACTTCAGCCAGGTCACGATCTCGCGGTCCGTGAGTTCGAGCCCCGCGTCAGGCTCTGGGCTGATGGCTCAGAGCCTGGAGCCTGTTTCTGATTCTGTGTCTCCCTCTCTCTCTGCCCCTTCCCTGCTCATGCTCTGTCTCTCTCTGTCCCAAAAATAAATAAACGTTGAAAAAAAAAATTAAAAAAAAAAAGAAGAGCTAGCTCTTGGAGGAAGTGAGGATGGAGGGCAGGAAGAACAAGCTTGAGGGGATGGAGATGGGATTAAGGATTAGTCCTAAGCATTTAGGAATGAATGACAGCGATCTAGATGCTTGGTTTCAAAGTAGAATGAGGGATGGGGACAGATGGTGGAATGGATTCTTTGGAGACTCATTTCTTTACCCAGGATTCTGGGCACTTGATGTGGCTAGTGATGTGCCAGTGACTAGGTATAGTGTTTAAATAAGAAAAGGCCACTCTTGTATTTTTGAACATTAGAGCCTAGTGGAAGAGAAAGAATGTAAGTAAGCAAAGAACTAAATATGTAATTATCAATTGTGAAGAAGGCTACTCTTAGTAGAATAGCAGCTCTTGGTAAGAGGAGACTAGCTTTACATGGGGGGCTCACAAAGGTGATTCTGAAAAAATGACATTAAAGAGACCGAAAAACAACAGAAAAGAATTATACATGTAGTTGGGGAGATTTTTCTCTAGAGAAAGAGCCATTATATGATTGATAGGATTTGGGGGTTGAGAGGGGAGGGGGAGGGGGTGTGGTTTGGATTAGTGTGGGTTTTGGCCAATTTCCCCTTTCCAGAGTAGTTTTAGTTTCAAGGGATTTGTTGCTGTCTTTGGGGGTGGGGGAGAGAGTGTGACTATATTTTTTATTTTATTTTATTTTAGTTTTGTTTTACTTTTTTTTAAAAAAAAATTTTTTTTTCAACGTTTATTTATTTTTGGGACAGAGAGAGACAGAGCATGAACGGGGGAGGGGCAGACAGAGAGGGAGACACAGAATCGGAAACAGGCTTCAGGCTCTGAGCCATCAGCCCAGAGCCCGACACGGGGCTCGAACTCACGGACCGCGAGATCGTGACCTGGCTGAAGTCGGACGCTTAACCGACTGCGCCACCCAGGCGCCCCTGTTTTACATTTTTTTTAAATGTTTATTTCCAAAGGAGAGAGAGAGAGAGAGTGTGAGTGGAGGAGGGGCAGAGAGAGACACACAGAATCCAAAGCAGGCTCCAGGCTCTGAGCCATCAGCACACAGCCTGATGCAGGGCTCAAACCCACAAACCGTGAGATCATAACCTGAGACGAAGTCGAACGCCCAACCGACTGACCACCCGAGCGCCCCAGAGTGTGCCTATATTTTAAATTTTCAACTGCTGTTGTGGGCTGAGGGAGAGGAATGGAGGGTGCTGTTAGGTTTTAATTGATTCCAGCCCATGGGAGACCAGAAGTGCTTGTCAAATGGTTTATGTTGTTTCGGTTAACTACAGCTGTGGGATGGGGGAAGGATGTGATGCCAATAATCCTTTCTGCCTACTCTGAGTAGCCAGGGAACTCATGCCTTACTGAGAGTGCAAATGTTTGAAATAAAACTTTCTTTTTTTAAAGTTTATTTATTTGAGAGAGAGAACACAAGTGGGGGAGGGGCAGAGAGGGAGGGAGAAAGAGAGAATTCCAAGCAGGCACCACATGGTCAGTGAGGAGCCCAGTGTGGGGCTTGAACTCACAAACCTCGAGATCATGACCTGAGCCAAAATCAAGAGTCGGATGCTTAACTGACTGAGTCACCCAGGCGCCCCAAAACAGCTTTCTGAAACAGATAGTAAGTTCAGATTTTACGTTTCATCAGAGGAGTCTATGAAAATTTTAGATGACTGTAGTTGAAAAGCAGCAGGATATGGGGTCTTAAGCGTAAATTTGAGATCCCAAACTGGACATTTGCATGTTATCAACTTAGAGATGGAACTTAAGTTCAAGGGGATGGATGGGCAGATACAGAAGGCACAGAATAAAGCAAGAAACGGAGGCCAGGACTGATCCTGAAGGACAGGCAGCAGTGGGACAAGAGGCTGAAAGAGAGTAGCCAGGGCAGTAAGATGACCACTGGGAGGTTGTGGTCACAAAAGCCCAGGGAAGAAAATAACTTACAGAGGAGAGCAGTGATAGAGTTTTTCCAACGGACCAACTTAGTCAAAAACAGAAATCCATTCACTGGATTAGTTCTCATTAATTCTCTTCAACCCTTGGCCATCTTGGCAGAATAGTGTCAGTGGACTGGTGGTGGTGAAGGTGGTGGTGGGAACCAGGTTGGAGCATATTAAGGGAGGTGAGGAAATGGGGAGAGCATGAGGGTAGATTACCCTTCCAAGAAGTTTGGTGGTGAAGAAGAGTGAGCGGTAACCAGAGGGCTAAGTGGGACATGAGGCATAAATTTGTTTCAAGATGGGAGTTAATTATGTTTAAATATTAAAGGTATAAGTACCCTGAAACAGAAGTTGACGGCGTTACCCAAAACCGGGTTCACCTTGTGGTGGGTATTGAGTCAAAGGACACAAGTAAGCCAAAGAATAGGAAAAGGAAGGGTTTTACTTACAACGAATAAAGGAGAACATGGGCCATTTCCCAAAGCAGTGTCTCCGCCAACAACAAAACTGGAAGTTTAAGCTAAGCGCACATACACATTCATGAAGGGGCCTGTGCAGTGGGGAATTGTGCGTGGAATTGGGGCGAAAGTCACCTGAAGGTGATAGAGTCCATGTCTTAGTTGACGGAATTCACAAGGCCGGCGAAGGTCAACATCATCAGTTCTTAGGCTCCAGTTTGTTGTCTGAGTGATCAAAGGAGTTTAAATCCTGCAAAGATAACTCAAGAATGTGGTTTGGGCAAGTAGTGCTGGTCAGGCACAGATCGCAAGGTGGCCTGGGGCCTAAAATGGCTTCTTATGTCAAAAAAGCTATGTCTCACTTTTTCCTGGGGACCCCTAACTCTTTCTGCTTACAGTGGTGTTGGAAAAGAAGAACCAAGGAATAATCAATAGAGTAAGCTTTCTGAGAGAAGATATGAAGGGGTAAGACCAATGATTCTTAATGAGGGCAATCTTGCACCCTCGAGTACATTTGGCAATATCTGGAGACAAGTTTAATTTTGCAACTGGAGGGGATACTACTGACATGTACTGGGTAGAGTCTAGAGATGCTGCTAAGCATATGGGCGCCCCCATAACAAAGTATCCAGTCCCAAATGCCAGTAGTGCCAAGGATGAGAAACCCTGGCATAGAAAGGTAAGAGATATTGGCTTTTGGTAAGAAGGAAGAGAGGTGCCTGGCTGGCTCAGTCAGAAGAGCATGCGACTCTTGATCTCAGGATTATGAGTTTGAGCTCCATGTTGGATATAGAGATTACTTAAAAATAAAATGTTCATTTATTTACTTATTATTATTATTTTTTAATGTTTATTTATTTTTGAGACAGAGAGAGACAGAGCATAAGCAAGGAAGGGGCAGAGCAAGACCCAGAATGTGAAGCAGGCTCCAGGCTCTGAGCTGTCAGCTCAGAG